TTTATTTTTCAGTCTTTATGATGGTTGATACTTGGTCTATCTTTTACTGTTACATCCCCGGGCTCTACTGCTAGTCTTTCATAATTCAACCAATAAAATTTCTTAATGATATATTGTCAAATACAGAAACAGGATCCCATTTGGTAAATAAATATAAAATTTACATTATCAATGCTAATGTGACTTTTGGAACACCCTGTACTATAACGGTGAGTCAGTAAGATTAAGGAATTGCCCCACTTGTCATTATACGTTGCTGCCATCTCTTTACCTAATACCCTGTATGGATATGTACTTCAGCTAGTTATCAATATCTTTCATCAGACCCTTCAATGCTTCAATCATTGGGGGTGGGGACTGAAGGCAGAATAAACAGAATTTGATTCTTCTTTGTGATCCTTTCAGATAGTTTTGCAGGACCCATCTCCTCTCCAAGCTCTTGACCGACAATCAAAGCCCACAGATTATGTTGCCCTCATTCTGTACACTATAAGTTTTGAATTCAGATTTGTCCTTCTCCTAGACAGGTTGCCACCCAAGGCTATAAGACCCAGTCTGTCCTACTATTTACTCAGAGCCGAGTTTGAGGGGGAGGAAGAAGATGGATTCATACTTTCCCAAAGGGTATTGCCCATAAATGAAAGTAATGAACTCAACTAGAATTCTAACGCAGCTCTCCAATTCAAACTGAGCCACTAGGCAGGATAGAGTAATGGATCTTTTAATAAGGGATAAATATTTTAGCTGAAACTAACACAATATATGTGAAACACTATGATCAGAACTATTCCAATCACATCAGCCACATCTGATACTACATCTGGAGGGACCTTGGTTATGATACCATGTCACGAACCAGATTAATTGTGACGAGTAGTTTGTTTGACCCTCACTGAGTTTACCTTAATTTCAGCCTCATGCGACGTCCAAGCTTTGCTTTAGGTAATGAACTGCTTCATGTTCCAGTCTTTGTCATAGTGACGTACTGAATAGAAGACTCCTCCAGTCACATTTTATTAAAAAAATTAGAAAATTGACAAAGATTATCTTTAATATTGATCGAGTCATTTTCTGCAGTTTATTAACCATTTGTAGGTTAAAGCCAGGAAATATCTTTAGATTGTAAGAATTGTATAGCTTCTGTTATTGTATGGGAACCATTTTTCAAAGTGAAAGCCATTCTCTTTATAAAAAAAAAAACAAAAAATAAATAAATACGAAAAGATTTAGAATAAACTATATGCTGATTACATGTTTCAATCTTATAATCCTTTTTCCTATTCTGAAGTTTGACAGCAGTTTGATCTGAATCTTGAATCATTCTTTCACAACTACGATAATTATAAAACAAGTCTGAGTAGACTCGTTCTCTTTTGTGAGGAAAATTTCAGTTTACGACTGCAATCTGGCATTGTCTATACATTCATGTCTCACATCCGCCAGTTTTTGTCCATTCTCTGCCAGTCAAGATAAAACTATTTGAACTCTGCTAGCCTTTTGCAGATTTCTTAATCATATTTTTTTTTAATATATATATATATATATATATATATATAAAAATGTATTTCGGTTGAGCTCTTTGGGGAGGAAGTGTAGTTTTATAAGCAGTGACTATTATGGTTAATAATGCAAGACACTTCGGTAAATTGAATCAAGTTCTCTCAGTCACTGTATTTATCTAATAAATATGCTTAAAATTCACCTTCATCCCTGCCATGCACCAACGGCTTAGTGGTAGAATTCCCCCGACTGACGCCAATTCAGTTGGGTTTCAATCCTAGCTGGAGGTAACCGGATGTCTAGCCACATGGATGAGCTGTGAAACAGCCTGTCTGTGGATGATATATGAGCATTGAACCTACTGGTTTTATTACCAATGATACAGTGGTTCAATTTGACCATTAATTTCACTTTTACACGTTCCTTCGGTGTTTGACTGAATTTTTCATAACTGACTTCCTGAAAATTATTTTTTCTACAAAACCACCTAGCAAATATGTCTTTACGTGAACAAAGCATGTGATCCATTGGCAAAGTTTTGCCATTTGTAAAGACACTTTCTTTTCATGTTCAGGCTGTCATTGCAAGGAGAGGAGCATTTTCTCATATCTCAAAGAATTGCTGTGTATGCTGGATTGAATGTTGAAATGACAAGTGATTTACAACCCACTGCAACTGGGTGAGGTTAGCATTAGGGTCACACCCTCCCCACTTAGAAGAATGGCACAGTATAATCTTGCTCATGCATTTGACCCTGTGGTATTAAGCTTATGTTTACTAAGTATGTAGATTAGCCAGTTTTCTTTTTCAATCATTATCAGCTGTTGCTAAATATTAAACTTAAAACCAAAGCACAAAATTTCCCAATTGGCAACCGTTGTCATCAATGGACTTGTTTCTTTCTTGGTTGTCATTTTCTTACAAGAAACCTGTTGAGTTGATCAAAGAGCAAAATTCATCAATCACAAATGAACAATCACAATTTCCATGTAGAACTGTGAATATAAATCCTTAATTCAGTAGATGGAGTAGAGTCCATTTTAAACTGGTGACAGCAAATTTAAGATCTTATTTGAGTCTAATCACAGTATGTAGGCCAAAGTGTGAACCAAACTTGTTCATTGTAATAGGTTGAGAGATAACTTTGTTAATCACCGCTAAATAGGAAGGCAGAAAGATATTTATGCAAATTGCCTTCAGGCAAATTCACTTGATTTGTCAGGTCTTTCAAACTCCAAGAAAATCAAATCCAAATGGAAGAGTCCCTCTTTAAATATACACCCCCCCCTTCACCTGAAATGACATTATTACATTTCTTAGTTTTTTTTTTTTTTTGTTAGTGGCCCATCAACTCCTATATAATCGTCATATGTAGTCAAATTTATTTTATGTAGATTATCATAATCTATGTTTCTAGTTAGAATAATTCATCTTCGAATTAATGAAGATATTGTGTTGAACTCACTTTTTAAGTAGATACTAGTTTTCTATAACATCCAAAATTCTGAATGAAATTTCATGGCACATTGATTGCTATATATTAGTAGGAATGTGACAAGTAAGAAGATTCTCAAAATCCCGAAGGACAGACATCACCACCCCCATTTCCAGGGCAGTGAGGCTGAAGATCACTAAAAATGAATGGAATAAGAAAGTTACAGAATTATTCAATGGAAAAAGAAGTGATTTTGTCAAGTATTGTTATTTTTCAAGAAGCTCCAGAAAAGTAACCTTGAGCTAGACTTGGCTAAATGTAAATGATTTTGCTTTGTCTTCAGGTAAAAAGCTCAAATATGTTTTTCGATGAATAGTGACAATTTTACAAGCCATAAACAATGAATAAACAAAAAAGTTGTGCAAGTTGAATTTGGTAAATTTAGTTTGGCACAAGGCTTCTGACAAGAGAGTCCATCATTCAGCTGCAGGTTTTCCTAGTGTCATCTAGATTTAAATCATTATATGAACAACAAACTTTTTAAATAGAAAGCAACTGGAAGGGGCTAGAAGAGATCCCTTCACTGGTAATTTCTATTCACTTTTATTTTGTAAGAGTTAATATGTATGGGAAAAATTATATAATTTTTATATCAGAACAATTTTAGGAAAATCTATGACAAAGAGGAAATACGCACATGTAATAATATTGGTGTAAACATCAATTTAGTCCAAAAGGACAAAACCCAAAAATGTTTTTCCACTTTGTCAGATCTTCTGTTTTATATTATGTGTGTGTGTATATATATATATATATATGAGACTTTTCTCCACCTGTTGGGAAGGTTGTGTGTCTGACTAGAGAAAGAGAAAGGAAAAAAACAAAAAAACAAAACAAAACAAAAAAAACAAACATCTTTGTGGTGGAGGAGGCTGCAGGATTGTCCATAAAATATTCCTCCCCACATCTTTGTTTGGAGAAAATATTTTTTTAAAAGTTAAATTCAAATATTAATTACTTTATTTTCTTTTTACTTTATTCAGTTCCACGTGTCGGCTGAAGAAAATATTTTTGAATTTTATTATTATTTTTTTTTTTTTTTAAATACAAGTTCAACTAAAGTGTCTTCAGCCGACATACACAGCAAGTAGACATTTTTTTGGGGGGAGGGGGGAAGTTATGGAAAGGAAAAAATAAAAAGATACAGCAGTTGTTTTATTGAGAAAACCTGGAGAATAAGTAAGATTACCACACAGAAATAGGAGGGGTTAAAAGGGGGGGACACGGAGAGGGGGATAGAAAGAAGATGAAGAGTCAATGCTTCTGCCCCATCCTCTACTCTGCTTTTTTTTAAATTGAACCTTGCAAAGACTGACCCCACCCCCCACTCCACCCAATCTGAAAGGGTGTAACCTATTGAATTATAGAAACACCCGAAAAAGAATTAAGCTGCAGAACAGAGACAATCAAGTGCTGACCTCTAACTTAAAATCTTATGTTAAAAAGAGAAAAACAATGTCAAAAGTCCCAGCATTTTCATGGGTTTAAAATCCGACTTCATAGAAACAAACTGTTAAAAGAAACCTTTGCATGATAAAGTCCTTTTGTTACATCTGTACAGATATTAAGCAAAGAAGACATTTGCTTAAGACTCTTGAGCAGAGTTGCCTGCTGTTAGTGTTTTGGTTTTTTTGCCCCCCACCACTCTTGAAGAATCAGAATTCTAAATTTTGATGCCTTTCCTTTTGACTCTTTGAAAAGGAATGAAAGAGTTCAAATGAATTCTTTCAAATCTATCAGATTTTATTCTTACATATATTTTTGATTCACTTGCAATTTTTACCTTCTTAACACAGATCTGATATATTTCATTAGGTTGAAATACTCCAGCGATTGAAAGCATTTTCTAGCTGGAGAGTTGAAGCCAAGTGTTTTTTTTTGTTTTTTTTTTTTGGTGTTTTGACAGAAAACACAGTGACAAGTATTTGATTGAGGTCTAAGTTCTGAAAGGTAGTAACAATTCCTAATCATTGAAGTTGGTGTTGTCTGGTCATTCAGAAGGCTTTCAAAAAGAAACAAGGGAGAAGCTGTGACTGAAAAAAGTGTAGGTGAGGAGGGAGTGGAGATAAAGAGAGAGGACAAGGAAATGAACAAAAAGAATGCAGTGTAGAGAGAAAGAGCGTAAGAAAAGAAAGTGAAGGAAATGAAGTGTAAAGAGAAAATAGAAAAAGCTACAGAAACTTTTCAAATATAAACAAAAAAATTAAAATTTTACATTCATTTTTTTTTTTGAGAATTATTCATTTGATTTAATTAGTAATTAATTTGATGTCATTGATTTTAGAAAAGAAATCTTAATTTGGTTTGGTATGTCTACTTTTTTGTCCAGAAATGTCACCGGATATTTAAAAATAGCAACTAATTATGTCATCGAGTAATATTTTATCTATTCAATTTTAGATTATATAATCACATATAAAAAGGTACCTGTGGTGTTTTTCACAAAGACACAACCCCCCCCCCCCTGAAATATTTGATAATGACCAGCACAAAGGCTAAAATTCTCAACAAATACAAATGTACTGATGATCAGACACTGCAAAGAATTATTATTGTGGGGGTGGGGGTGTTGCTGTAAAAAAAAAAAAAAGAAGGAAGGCTGTTAAAAATCATCATTGCCTAAGAGTAAATGTATGGAGTTGGGAAACTAAGTAAGAAAGATGCATTGTGGTCAGTTGTACATAGATATCTATTTTGAATATGTGCACCTGTGCACACACATGCATTCATGTGCAGATGCCATGATCATGCAACAAGTTATAGACATTGAAAATAAACACTTGGCCTAAGATCAAAATAAAACTCACTACCCATGTCCTAGGAGCACAGCACTATGTGCACTGCCACAGCCAACAATTAACCACCTAACATGAAAAGAAACGCTATATTTTAATAAAAAATACATACTGTGTGTGTGTGTAATAAAAATTCTACCCCTTGATCTTGCTTACAAACTTATTTTTTACAGAAGGCTACATTCTTGAGTGCGCACATGGAGGAAAAACAAATTTTTTTAAAAAGGTATATAAACTGGTACTGACACAACGAGTAGGTATTCTGCAATTGGAACACTAGTGTGTGTGTGTATTTATGAGAGATTTAAAAAAAAAAAATAAAAGTTCAATCAGCCCAACTCTTAAGTGACTTGGAAGTTTCATGGAACATCATCCATCAGAGCCTAATAAGTCTCTTGAATTAACTACCTGCATATAAAACATACCAACTATTATGGGGTTTGATACTACTATCCCATAATAGTAGTGTTATATATATATATATATATATATATATATATATATATGTGTGTGTGTTATGGTACAGAAATTGTATAAAACAAGATTCTATAGAATTACCAGCTATATCTCATAATAGTTGTTAGTCAAATGTAATGGTTATTATTATTATTATTATGAAATAGAAGGAAACACTAAAAAGAGAAAGCACAGATTTTTGCCAGCCAAAGTCATGTATCCTTGTTTCTGTTATTTGGACAAATTTAAAGTGGCTAAAAATAAATGTAACACACAAAACATTTTGGTTAAATGTGCATTTGTCAAAATAGAAAATGCCCTCCTTGTGCATATATCGTAAGAAAGATGTCCAAAAAAATGTTGGTCTAACAGAACATATTTTTATCCTATGTTCTTTAGCTTTTGTGCAGTGTCTATTTAGATGTTTATTTTATCCATTTTTCTTTTCCTCTGACACTGATATATATATATATATATATATATATATATATATATATATATATTTTTAAGAGAAAAAGAAAGATAGAAACTATGGATGACCAAAAAGCCAAAGAATATAACAAGAAGGAAATATTAATCTGGTAAAATTTAGAAGTATACAAGCAGATGATCATTACTAATATGTCAGGAGTTTGATCCTTACAGATTGTCTTGTAATTGTGTTAAAATAAACTAAATAAAACAGCAGTAACACTAATGGCAGATCCACCCTATTGATGTATTTGAAGAGTCTTGTTTTTTTTTTTTTTTTACAACTAAGGTCAACAAAATCAAGCAGTAATGAGCCAAGAGAGAAAAAAAAAAACTATTTCCATTTGATAGATTAAGCATTCAAAGCAGACTAAATAAAAAAAGTTTTCACAAAGTTCCTTAATAATAATACACACACACGATTTTAAAACAATTTTTAATAAATATCTCTATAATAGAGATCTGATTTCAGTATGGCTGTCATTGTAAACACAGATTTCTGTTAATGTGACAAAAAATAAAATGCTTTAATTGGAAGAATAAACCAATTATCAGCAACTTTATGAGGTCAGCATTTGCACAAATACGAACAATCTATGATTTGACTTACTCAGGGGAGAGAAATGCATGTTAATTTCCCATATCTGAAAATAATTATAAATCCTGTCGATATCCATTGACTTGGGATTGAGATAAAAGGCCAACAATGGTGGCATTTAAGTGACTTAAAAAAAAAAAAAAAAAAAAAAAAAAAAGACGAAGATAACCATGTCCTTTGTTGTTTAAAAAAGGTCTGAAATAACTCCAAAACATTTTTTTTAGATAATAAACAAAATAGACCTATTACATTTTCATTTGACTTGTCTTTTCTGTGAGCAGAAAAAAGAAAAAGTTTTCAATTAAGAAATGTCCTTAGTTTTATCCAAATCCATCCATAATTACACATTCACAATTTTAGAACACAAATCTTCCAACATCCAGTAAACAGAGAAACTAATAAAACTTAAAGAAAGGTTTTCTCTTTTAAGGATAAATAGAAAATCCAATTTGATGTTCAATATTGCTTTAGGGAATGACCATGAGTTGAGATTTTTCTGTCACATTCTTCAAAAATGGAGATGGAAAATTGAAACCTTACTTTACACATCTATGAATAGAAATGATAGCCAATGACACTAAACAAACTCATTATTTTGAATCAATCATTAAATTTCAGTCAAAACAAGACAAACTTTAACAAGATAAACTTTAAATACAACTTGAAAGAGGGTACAGAAAGAGAGAGAAAAGGTAATTTAGAAAGCCAGTTTTGTAGGCTATCCATTGTTAAAGTAACAACTTATATTTTGTAGTTGATTAACATATTTCATAGAAAAAAAAAACCCAAACATTTTGATATGTGGATTAGAATTAAAATTTATCAAGTCGTGGACAATGATTCTCCATTGGTAACCTTTTCATTAGATAAAAATACAGACAAAATTAGCAATTGTTTGCTGATAGCCATTAAGAATATACAAAATATAATTCCCTACTCTGACATAACAATGTACCCCTATCAAAAGTCCCTAAATGTGCACGAGAAAGAGTAGTAACAGGAGTTAATTCCCTTTGTTTAATTATTTACCAACGTAAACAGTAACAAGATTATGCATATTTTGAAATGCTTTATTGAAATCGACCAAATTCTGTCATTGTTGGTTTAGTTTTTTTTAATTACATTTTCCAATTTAATTTTAATAAAACGTTTGAATGATTTTTTTGCCTAAGTAGTAGTAGTAATAATAATAAAAGTCCCTACAGGACTTGGGAAATCATGGCTCTCCACAAATTCCTTTTTTTGTGAATTGCTGTGATTTTTTAGCAAAGATAGTGGAATGGTTTCTTGCTGCTTTCTTCTAGACCGGTTGCCATTCAAGGATAGAGAAGCCAATTTCCCCTACTATTTGACCAATAGCTGAAAAAGAGAGAAATGGATTCATGTCTTTCCCAAAGATATTAGTGTAAAAGTGAGTGCTATAGACAAGGCTGGAATTGGAACTTAGCTCACCAAATCCACTTTCCATACCAACAACTATTACACTACAAACATATCTTGTCTAAATATATAAGGTGTGTGTAGAAGAGGCAACCAAGAGGCAATATTAAAAGTGTTAAAAGTCACCAAATTTTAAGTATAGAATTTCAGACAGCTTTGTATAGTAGGGAGATGTTGAAAAGATTCTCAGCTGACCCCAGCCTAGCCCAATATACTCCCCATCCAACCCAAATCAGTGTTTGAATATTTGGTAACTGAATGAGTTATTTTTTAGTAGGTGGGGGCAAATTTTTTCCAGCACCCCCCCCACCTTTATATAGCATATATACTTGTGTTACATGCAATCTCATGTATCATATAACCTCCAAATTTTCACTTATAAAAAATAATTTTATCATGTATCATGCAAATTCCTTTTTTTGAGAAACCAAATTACAATAGACTAACACCTTTCCTCTATCTCTTTATTCAATCTTCTAGTTAAATAATTAAGAGAGAATGATAAAAGTATCATTAGTAATGCTATACTCAGTGCGTAAATGTGTAGACATAACCAAACAAGAAACACCTAAAAGATCTTATAAATGTAAATAATAGAAAAGATGCGTATTCACTATGTTTGTATTTTATAGTATGATACTAATATGTGACTATTATATGCATTATGAAGTTGCATGATACGTTAGTATGTATACACACACACACACACACACACACATGCATGCGTATTTTTAACTTTTTTTTGCTATACTTGAGTCATTTCCCTTGTAATGGCAATGTTAAGTGGCAGTTTGTTTTTTATAATTATGCCAAATCATTTAAAACTAGAAGTTGGGGTAAAAACAACAACAACACAAAAACGAATTTCATGAAAGAACAGAGTACAACAACAATTGTAATAAAGATGTACAAATAAACAGCCCACATAATAAACCTAAGATTTAACAAAATACCAATTTCATATATGTCATCATTTCTTGGTAATGTAGATTAACTAGTAATCAATAACAATGGCGACTACCACTACTACTAAAATGCTGGGATCTTTTGCTGAGCTTATGATGTCATGTAAATTTTTGAAAAACAAAGAAAGCAATTCCAGTTAAATAAAATACCTTTGTATTTATGATCTGTGAAAGCCTAGATTAAGTGGCAAATAAGTAAATTTAGGGGGGGATTCTCATCTTATGGATGAAATAGTTTTCTTTTTAATTGCTCAAACACTGTAATATGCTCAAGTTAAGCAACTTGAAGATTGGAAAGAGGCTCTTGAGAAGAACTTAAATAAAATTTTAACTACTTCTTATATATTACTTTTGATTATATCCTTGTTACTGGAGTAATCTTAGTACAGCAGATTTTAACCGTATTCAGAAAAAATAAGAAATTTCCTTATCAAAAGAGAGAATTA